GTATTTTGAGAAGGGGTGAGCTGACTCTCTCTACTCTCGACTATACCAGGACAACAACAAAATAAACGGATATTAAATATGAACTAATTAGTTGTTTCTAACTTAATTATACCTTGAAAACATATACCTCTTTTAAATTATGGTGGATATCTAATAGAATAATCTCTTATTCATTGTTAAGTATCAATGTTTACATATCAAAATATTAAACAATGCATTATTGAAAAGTATATTTAAAGTACGTGATTCAGTAGTTGATTAACATAGTCTTATTAACTTTAAATCGTTTACATCTTATCTATCGACATATTTGACATCATTCATTACTGAATAGTTCTTTAGATTTGACTTATGAATTGTTGATTGATTAAAGTAGAATAGTTTGATATTGTACACTTTGAAAAGTTATTGAAACCAACGAAATATGATGAATAGTGGTTAGTAGTGGAATTCAGTTTTCTGTGTGTTTCGCCCTATTTGGGACTCATTAAATGGATGTACCTGCATCTCAGAGTTGATAATTACTCCAGGACTCGAACTTAGTATCGTTCGCTTCAAACACAATCACATTATCCACTTAACTATTGAATCCTGATAGCTACTTGTTTTTGCAATGGGGTGAATTTTAAATTCGCTTGGTTTCGTTTACTTGAATCTAAGGTAATATCAAAGCAATCCGCACAGTAAGCACATATGTTAATAAGAGACTGATCAAATGCAGTCCTAAATATCAATGAGGAGATTCAAGTAAATTATGTTATGTGAATTTAACGAAATATGTTTTAAACAGAAAAGATTTAATTTTAATTTTCACAGGTGAATTCAAACCTAAACAACCATTTAAAACTTGAAAAGATTAGACAGCCATTCCCTCTTAGTGTAGAACTTCTTAATAATACTCATCCAAAATCTCACACCCAGAATTCAAACCTAAAACTTTCCGTTTTCGTGCATGCACACTTAATCTCTAGACCACTTAGCCCATATTCAATGATATTATTATCTAACTTCAATTATGAGAATACCAAAATCTCCACAAATCTTTATACTAACAATAATGATCTCAAAGAGAGCAAGAACAATATGAATGACATAAATATTGCTGGTAAGTTTATGGTTTCTTTTGATGTAACATCACTGTTTACAAAAATACCACTTCTTGAAACCATAAACATAATTTGTCAATATTCTGACATCCTACCTCTACCAGCACCAGAATTCAAACGACTATTACTCATTTGTACAAAAGATGTTCAGTTCCAGTTCAACGATATCATATACAAACAAACCGACGGTGTAGCAACGGGAAGTCCGTTAGGTCCTGTCCTAGCAGATATTTTCATGAATAAACTCGAAAGAACCAAGCTCAAAGGAGCGATTGATGAAATGATGTATTATTCGAGGTATGTTGATGATACCTTCATCGTATGTAATAATCAACAACATGCAATAAATCTGCTAAAGTTTTTCAACGAAACCTATCCAAATATCCATTTCACTATGGAACATGAAAAAGAAAACAAGTTCCATTTTCTCGATGTCGCGATGAAACGAAGAAAGAATGGTACAGTTCAACGTTCAGTTTATAAAAAAGACACATGGAATGGAAGTTATCTCAATTTCAATAGCTTTTATCCAATCAGTTACAAAAGGGCACTGGTCAAAACACTGTTTCACAGAACAGAAAGAATATGTACTTCTGATACACTAGGAGAGGGAAGTTATGAATGTTAAAAAAATGTTTAAAGAATAACGGATACTCACTGAAATTTATTGAGAAATATGGCAAACGTGAAGATAAAAAAACCAAAGAAATTACAACAAATAAAAATTCAATTTTATTCAATTTCAAGTTAAAGGTGACGACGTCACAGGATCAATCAATATAAAACTAAAAACTGTACTGACAAGAACTTGTCCTGCAGCGAAATTGATTGTCCTGTCCAAAATAACATGTTCTTTGACACAATCAAAGGTCGACAGGTATCCCTTTCATGTTACTACCAACTGTATATACAAATTTACATGTATCTGCCAAAGCAGTTACATTGTTAGAACAGAAAGGAGAGCCTACGTCCGATTCAAAGAACATATTCCGAAAAGTTTAACATCAAATGGATTGAAAACATTCAACAGTGCCATCGCAAAACATCTCCTTGACACAAAACACGAAGTCGATACACTGAAATCCTTCAAGGTGATTAATAAACAATCAAGCTCCAACCTTCTGAAATTTACCGAAGCATTAGCAATCAAACGTCTAAAACCAGACTTTTGTATACAAAAAGAAACAGCAATACATCTTTCTTTACCCTGGTAACAATACCCTCCCTTTTTTATTCACTTATTTCTCTATTTATTTATTGCATCATTATCGCAACTCTTTCTGAAGTTTAAATTACATCATACATAACTGACTGATTTCAATTCATATTTTCTTTATTATCATTAATCTATTTTCATGAGTTCTAATCACTATCTCAATGTTCTGGAACTTTCCCTCTCAAACTCTATTCATTCGAGACAAAAATTTTATGACCACATTCACTCTATTGGAATCTTCGCTACACCATGAGACATTTATTCATCCTTAATCACACTCTTATGTAGAAATATGTCAATATCTGTAATAATGTTGAATTTTAAATATTTTAGGTTGTAAGCAACTGATGAGAACCTAACGAAATCAAACGAATTCATTTATTATTCTGCACCAATCTTTGTTCTTGCTCTCTTTAAGATAATAAAGGAAACTATGTGTGTGAAATAATGATCTCATCAACAAGAAAGACCAAAATACATAGATTCTATTGCATAATACAAAATATCACAATGATATTCAACTATATTCATTTGAAATGATCAAGTTTTAGTTCCTTATTAAAAATAGAAATAAAAAATAAATGAGATGACGTAGTAAATAAAATTAAAAAAAGCACACACACACACACTATAGAAATGAATTACGTAATCGAACTGATCATCTATTTATTATAATGAAATGATTCAAATGAATGATTGGTTTTCAAAGTTTCAGTGTTTATAATGTCATGCCAAACATTTTTCTTTAAATGGGTTACTTTCATTGTTTGTTTTTTACGACAAACACATTTTTGTATGTTTTGTTGTCGTTGTTGTGGGGGTGATACCCTTAATTAATAATCGAATCGATTCTAGTTACCAACTGCATTAGAAAAAAAGTTTTTTTTCATTTTAAAAAACCCATTTGTTTTTCATGTCTAGAAAGATTTCTTTTTGAATAACAGACTATATAGAATGACGTGATATTTTGTATAAAAAAGATTTCTTAAATTTAAACTGTCTATAAATTAGATCAAATAAATAAATAATAGTTCCATTGGTCACAGCTTCTCACCAGAACTCCAAGAATTTTCTCACGAAACTAGTCACTAGTGCGCATATATAAGAAGCCGTCACCAGTGGAGCTAATCCGTGTCGGGTAGAAACAGGTGTCTACCTCAGTACAATGGAAGATGGTCGCTCAATTTCGTGGATTGGTTGAGGTTAGACATTAACAACATTGGATACCGACTCAGTAGTCGAGCTGATTAAGCGTTTGTGAGCGAGACTGAAGGCCCTGGGTCTGAATCTCACGGGGTGCGGGATCGTAGATGCTCACTACTGAGGAGTGCCATACTAGGAAGAAACGGCCGTCCAGTGCTTCCAGGTTTTCCATAGTGGTCTAGCTTCAATTGACTCATGATTTCAATGTGTGTAATTTTACATTAATCAATTATCAACTTACAAATGAAAGAAAGAGACCATAAAGTATGATGAATTATGTATCAGTCATTAGTTGAATATGTATTGGAAGGTGTGTAAGGATAATAATTTTGTTGTTGTTGAAGTTTCTACATTCATATGGAGCTTATTGATGTTTTTAAAGAGAAATGTATAACAATAATGGTAATAATATACATCAGCAGGAACACTTTCTCTATTTCACTTCTCTTTAATACAAAAGAACCTTGATAAATAGGTATAATTATATGATAATGGTTATATCCTCTGTGATTACGGTTCAACACTAATTGAATGTTATTTAAAATACTCTCATAGTGAAATGTAGCTCAGAAAATTTGTTTAAAAAATATATTTTACACCTTCAGCTTGTACACCATACAAAGAATTCTATTGAATTCACTTGGTATTATTTGCTTGTATCATCCCATTGATGTCTAGGACTGCAGATGATCAGTCTCTTATTATTAGCATATATGCATACTGTGAGGATTGCCTCGGTATTGCCTCAATTCATAAACATTATAAGTAAAGATGGATTATGGTTAGCAGTGGAGTTCAGTTTGACGCATGTTTCGTCGTATTTGCAACTCGTCAGCTGGATGTACCTGAATTCCAGAGTTGATATCCATTTCGGCACTTGAACTCAGTACTGTTCGCTTCAAACACTACAGTGTTATCTAACAGACAAGTCCAAAATAGGATGAAACACGCATCCTGTATTCCACTGTTAGCCACAATTCATCTTTGCTTATAATTCTATTTAATATTTTATCCCAAACGAGTGATATTTCTAATATTGTTTTAATGAAACCGTGACTTAGAACTCAAGAAGCAGTAATACATGCTTCCTTTAAACTTTTTTCAGTCAAAATTCTTTTTTAGAATTTGTTATATTGTCAGAAATACACTTTCACATCTCCATAATCATTTGTTAGTTTAGTTTGGAGAAAATACACAGTTAGAATGGTGAGTAATGGAAAGACATCCTACTTAGTTTACATGTATCAGGATGCGACCAATGTTCCCCTATCACATCTAAAATGCCAAAAAGGAAACTATACTAATAAAGATACAATTCTCTATATACAATATAAGTAAACTGAACCATTTGTAATATCTTGACTATTCTATGATTTAATACACTGAAGATTTGAAAATTCTATTAAACATTTATTTCATTCATATTATTCACTTGTTTACCATTTAATTAAACCCCTATTCATTATATTTTATAGCTGATCCCCTTCAAATGCGTTCATTGTATCATGAAGATGTATTAAAGGTTAATGAGGGAAATGATTTGTTATTATCATGTCGTGTACGGGGCCGACCTACACCATTAATTTCATGGTATATTAATCAAACAGAAATTAAAAATCCATGGAGATTAGAAACAGGACGTGGAATAATTCAAAAATCACGGTATGTTTGTTATAATTAAAAAAGCATTTGTTTTTTACTTAATACAAACACTGTTGCAGTTGCTTGAATATTTCAAACAAATCTGTAAAATCAATGGTTGAGATCATGAGTTATTAGAAGACAGACCATCAGCAGTGCGCATCCACCATCCCACCTCGCAAGATTCGAACCCAGGACATACCGGTCTCGCATGAGAATTCTTAACCTCCAGACCACTGAGCCGGCCAGAATCCAACAGTATTAATATCTAACTTCAACCAATCCATGGAATTGCGTGACCGTCCACCGTTGTCTTCAGTGAGTTACTATCTCACAGCAGACCCAGTTTAACTCCACTGGTTACTGATTCTTATGGGAACTCCAGAAAATACCTCTTGAATCCAGCATATGTTGAATAATATCAGAAGGATTTTTGTGTGGATATTATAGTAATTTCAATAGTTAAGATCATGAGTTAATTGAGGCCATTCCACCATGGAATACCTGGAAGCACTGGAAGGACATTTCGTCCTATTGTGTGACTTCTCAGCAGTGTGCACCCACGATCCCGCTTCGTGAGATTCGAACCAGGGATCTGCAAAATGATTCCTTATAAATAACGGTTTATGGTTTTTTTTTTACCTGCATGTACAACGTTGTAAGTTCAACTATCTGGATGAAGTATGATAACCCGAATTCGATTGATAATCCCACTTTATTAAATAGATTGAAAACAACCAACAACAAAACAGTTAGGTGAGAAAGTAGATATGACATTGAAAACCAGCCCTAATGACTTAAAAATGAACTAATAACTTAATTATAAATGGTACTTGAAAAACTAATATAGATGTTATACTGTAAATACCCGTAATAATATAGAGCTTTGCTAGAACCTGATGATGGATTTTTGTGAAAACCTTAGAATCTCATCAAAGTATACATTTTAGACAACCCAAACAATTCAATATTACTTATCTTTGTGGTGTGGGTTACTTACATCTATATAAGTAGTATATAACAGTGGTCAAGCATAGAATGTATTTCAACAGAAGATTGATAAGGAAAGAACGGGAACGGAACGGAACGCAATTGGTATGAAAATGCATGAACAATGAAATCTGAGACAATGGAATGATATTTACAAAAGGAACAGTCAAGTTTGAGACGATGGATTTTGCAAATTAACTATTTGCTATATGGTTCTTAGATTTTATTGAGATGCTCTGTAATTTTTTTACTTATTAACCACAATTACTCACAATTTTATTGAAAGTCATATTCACTACATTGATTAGAACAAATACAATTAGAGTTATCATATTAAAATTGATCTCCTATTGACCATAACTGAATGCCGGCCAGCTCAGTGGTCTAGAGGTCACGTGTTCACGCGTAAGGCCAATAAGTTCTGGGTTTTGATCTCGCGAGGTGGGATCATGAATGAGAACTGATGATGAGCCATAAACTAGGATGAAACAGAAATCCAATGCTTCCAGGTTTTCCATGGTGGTCTAGATTCAGTGGACCCACGAATTCAATCATTGAAATTATAATGGCATAAATAAACATAATATTGACTAATAAATAGATACTATTTATCAGTCTCAAAGAATAATGATTCAATGAACCACATAAAATAGGAATCAACTTCATATTTATACAATCAGTATGAAAATTTTCATTAGAATTACATAATTAATTAATTAATGGATGAATGAATGTACCGAATTCTAACGAATACTAACCTCCTTTTATCCAAGATACCAAAATACAAACCTACTGAACTACATATACAAACATACGTGGATATATATATATATATAGGCCTACATAAATAACTGTTTACATTTATATCCTTATAACTACAGTTATTCCGTTAATGGTAATTCACTATTTATGTATATATATATATATATATATATATATATATATATATATATATATATATGTTTAAGGTTCCCCCTCTTGTTTTTAGAAATTAATTTATTATTGAATCTAACAAGTAACCGAGTTCGACAGATTGACCTTTCTAAGTGATATACACATATTGTTGTTTTTTTCTTCTTTTAAACTAATAATCATAATACTACTAATGATAGATGTATAGAATATAGTTTAGTTTATAGGTTGTATCAAAATTTGACATTCATAAAGAGTTTTAATTTACTTTTAATACTATACTATACTATCATCATTTCATCATGTACTCTGACATGCGTACACACACACACACACACACGCATACGTACACACAGGCACACAAGCACACACATACACAGGTAATGGGTTTTTCCATACATAAACTTATACACTTACATTCATTCTTTTGATGAACAATTTTTCTTTTTTTTTTTAAATTTTACATCAGTATCTAAGACTCTTTTCGTTGTAACTATAGTACAAACTGTAAGACGAATGAATAAGGAGAATGATATTAATAATAGTAATAATAATAATAATAAGTAGTTTTGATATGCTTTCCTAACCTTTCAACAAATCATATTCGGTATATGAACATATATTGTTTATTAATATTTATAATTGTATTGAAGAATTGATGTTGATGATAGTTGAAATTTGATTTGTATTGAAAGAAATGAATGAAAATATAAAAATGTAATTATTTGTGGAATGTATATACACCTCTCTCTCTTTCCCTCCCTCTCCCTCCGACTCCCTCCCTCTCTCTCTCTGTATATAAATATACATAGATATAGGTGTCAGTACTATTCACCAGAATTACAATGAATTACTGTTGTAGTTCATATAGAAACTAAATTCTAATAATTATCTAAGTTGTAATTGATAATAGATTTAATTTAATTTGAGATTATTAGGACAATAATGATATTATTATCAGAATGGGTTTTGTGGAGATTTTTTAGAAATTTCACTGGTGACTGACTTCAAGAGATACTCCTAGAGTTCTAGTGAGAAGCTGTTACAAGTGGAGTTCAACCAGGTCTGTTGTGAGATATCAACTCACTGAAGACAATGGTTTACAATAGTGCAACTTCGTGGATTGGTTGAAGTTAGACATTAACACCGGTGGATGCCGACTCAGTGGTCTAGTTGGTTAATTGCCTGGCGCAAGACTGATAGATCTTGGGTTCGAATCTCGCGGGGTGAGGGATCGTGGATCCGCACTGCTGAGAAGACCCACAATAGGACGAAACGGCCATCCAGTGCTTCCAGGTTTTCCATGTTGGTCTAGTTTCAAATGACTCATGATAATAACCATTGAAATTACTATAATATCCACAAAACCCATTTGATATTAAATGGAATAGTTAAGTATTATTTTGAATATAGAAGTTATTTGATATAATTATTTGAGTAATCAAATAACAATTAATACAGATATTTGTATAGTTTTGTTATGAAAGTTTTTCACCTGGATGGTGATTATCTGTAAGTGAAAATATATGAGGATCAAATTATGTAGTAAGAGATACCTTAATGTTATGCATTTGATTCTATATACAGTTGTGAGTTGGAACTGTTGTATAGTATTGTAGTGAACGAGAATATAAGTAGGGACAATTGAATGTATTTGAACACGAAATAACAGAATGTCTTAGCAAAATCTGAGAACCATACAGTAAATGCTACACTTACAAAATGTCAGTCAATCGTCTCAGACTTCATTGTACTTTAGTTTGTACATCAATCATTCCTTTGTTCTTGTTCTATTTACTTTGATCTTCTTAACCTTCGGCTGCCAGGTATTTCACTATCGATTGATGATATATTCTACTTATATCTGTCGACATCAGTAGTATACACCATAATATAAATGTTTACTACTAATATGTACAAACTTTACAAATTTTTACTCAGATTCGTACATTGTATAAACCTTGTATTAATCCATTAAGAATGATCATGATAATGAATTAATCAAGATTGTTTTATCTAAAATCTTGACAAATAATCTATCATGATATAAACAGAAATTGAAAATCATTAAATCCAATTCCATATTAAACTGTGAATACACATTGTTCATGTTTCTTCCGATAGATTCAATGATAAAGTCATTTGGATCTTCCAACATGTTAATTATTTTCTTCTTTGTTTGTTTTAACACATCATTATGTATATTAATCGCATAATCGATTCAAGTGAGTTTACGACCAAAAGTTTACGATATTTCACTGTACAAGTTACAAAACAGACTAATCAGCGACATCGTGGTTACTGAAAATATACGTCGAAAATAATGAACATTATTCACATGTAAACTGACTGAACTACTCACATTTAACTGGTAATCATTCCATATTTATTGTCAGGATCGACCAAGAAATAAGAAATGGGGAAACTTGCTGAAATACTTTGTGCTGAGAATTTTTCATTGTATCAATTATATACTATTGAATATCGTCACTAATAATAGTAATAATAATCTCATAATATAAAATGGAATTTACACTAAGCGTTTTAGACTAAAAATAAATTTAACCGATACGTATCATCATATATATATATCGCCTGAATAATTCATAACTTCTTCATCACCATTCGAAATCTATAGAAGCGTCTATTTTCGTCATGTTCTCAAGCATACAGATATATGACTGGACTTTAACACGAATATGAAATAACATTCCATAGATCTCAATAGAATCTCATTCATTCGGTTCCAGTTGTTATATATATATATATATAGTCTTGAATGAAAAATTCCTTCCTACCTTTTCTTTCAATTCGTTCTAGATTTAAAATCTTGGAGTGACTTTCAAGGTCACGACTGCATACATTCAACTTTTGAATTCCCGACAAACTATTTATTCATGAAACATACTTTATTTTTCTTCAAGAAGCTAATTATTTAAAGCCTACGCTTAATCATTCTAGTCGTTATTAGAAAAGCATAAAACAATCCATATTGTTAATTATAGTAATTATAATTAGTAATGTAGTATACTGATATTACTAAAGTAATATAGTCAAATGAAATGTTTTATTTAAATAATCATTACTACGAAGTCCTATCTTTAAAATGTTGATCATTC